TTTTTTTTACAGAGATGGGGGTCTTGTGTGGTTGCCCACATTAGTCTTCAACTCCTGGCTTCAAGCAATCTTTCCACCTCAGCCTCCCAAAGCGCTGGGATTATAGGTGTGAGCCACCATGCCCAGCCTAATAAAGCTGTTTTAACTTCTAAACGGATTGCCTGTACTAACCGTGAAAGAGCTGAATGAATCGCGGTTGTAATGCCGAGGTGATCAGACTGTCGGGCAGCTCCCTCAGGAAGAGCTTCAACAAACTGGCTGCTGAGCAGATGTCACCGTCCCTCCCGAGCTCCACGGGCACTCCACTCTCAAACTTGAGTCGAAGTTGTTCCACCACCTTCACGTTACCATTCACTCTAAAAAGACCTTCTTGGGTGAGTCCTGGAAGAGCAACGTAGACACAGAAAATAAATAGGTTGCTCACAGACATAAAATGTAAAGAATGATAACAGAAAGAAAGAAATCTCAGCATATGGTTCTCTCAACACTGTAATTATCAATCATTGTGTGTGGTCTTCACATTTTATAAAACTTTCTTTAGAATAATAAATGCTCATATCTACTGCCTATCAACTAAAAAGATCATATATGATTGGTATAAAAGCTGGCCTCTAAATATAAGGCTATGCCATATATAAACATAGAGCGAAACAGAGCACACAAGAAATTTCATTTATATAATCTTACATAGCACATAACAAAAACTTACTCAGGGTCCTAATAGCAGCTTAACATTTCATAAGCAACTACTTTTTAAATGACATGTATTTAAGAAACTTCTAAACTCTATGTGATTACCTGTGTAATAGTTTAAGAAATAAGTGATAGTTTTTCAGTATTCACTAAATTCAAAATGTAAGACTCTAGGTCTAAAGTGGTATAAGACAAGATCCTTGCCTTCAGTCAGTGGATGGGGGATATCAGTGTCAGCTGAAGTTATCAGAGAAGCCTCCTGGAGGTCAGCTTAACCTTTGGCTAAAGCAACACAGAGGCACTGGAGCTGTTGTGCTGGGAATCCAATGAAGCTTGAGCTTCAGGGCCCCTCATTTTCTTGGGCCCTTTACAAGCTCTGTCCTAGTCCTGTATTCTTAGTATTATGTTTTGTTTTTTGGTTTTTTTTCTTAAAGAAGTCTCAAAGAGATTAAGCATCTGGACCCACAAAACCTTGATCTACCCCTGACAAAGAGAAACAAAAATAGGAATTGAGAAGCAGAGACCGGATAGCATAAAGAAAAGTAGGCAGGCAAAGGAAAATGTGGGGTGCCTGGTCAAAGAATGACGGGGTAATAAAATGGAGAAACAGGAAAGGATCTACGGCAAGTTAAGGAGTGAAGGCTTTATCACTGGAGCACTAAGTGAGGAAAAAGACAAAATACAATCGGGTTTTAGGAAGATTTAGCTAGCTAAGAAGTAGAGTATGAAGAGGGCTTGCCTTATGGAAACTACCTTCTACTTTAAGGTAGTAAACTAAGTTTATGGTGGAAAAGGAGTAAATAAAGATGATTTAGCAACTTGGTTTAAAAGGGAGAGGGAAAAGGTTGAAAGGTAATCTTAATGTTTTGAAAAGTAGGAATAAAGAAAAAAAAAACACTGTAAAAGATAAGGTTAGGGGGTAGGGATAGGAGAGTAGCTGGTTTAGGCAGAAGATAATGATTTCCCCCTCAGTGTGCTGCATACCATGTAAGCAAGTGTTTCAGGGAGCAGAGGACTTTGAAAGTGTCAGAAACAATCTTTCTAAGAAAGAGCAGGCCAGGATTTAACTTGACATTCTTGAGAGTCTAATGGTGAATGTTAGCAGTGACATAAGCATTAAAGCCTATCAGAGGTTTTTAGAGGGGAGGTGCTTATTTATATCAGCCTTTGTTTCTTTCCCTCACCTGGCAATTGTATTGCTCTTTTTAAAGCAAAAGAGGAAGCTAATTACATTTTATTTGATAATCTGATAAAATACTTTATGAGCTCTTTAATTCAACAAACATGTAATAAGCACCTGACATTGTTAGTAATAAAAAAAAATCAATCATGAGAAAAAAATTCAAACACTATCATTACCCTCATGGACTTTGAAGTCTGGTAAGATGTTTGCGTTCTTCCACGTTTACGTATTATTTGACTGTGAAGAAAATCAATGTCAAAAGTTGATAGGAATTTTAGCTCCAATTCTGACAAAAATTGTGACACTAGGGATGATATTAAAAGTATTTAACAATGACTATTACCAGGGCACCACCTAAATGGAAGAGATACCAACTGGTTTGTGTGACAGCTTCTAACATAGTTCTTATGATCCCCACACCTCTTGGTACCACACCCATTGTAATCCCCACTACTTGAGTGTGGGCTGGACATAGTGACTTACTTCTAACAACAGAATACTACAAATATGATGTCATGTTGCATCTGAGATGAAGTTATAAAAGACTGACAATCTATCACCCCGCTCCTGCTCCCGTTCTCTCTCCTCTCTCCTCTCTTTGTTAGCTACTGGCCATGGGCAAAGAACTAAAGGCGGTCTCTGGCCAACGACCAGGGAATAACTGAGCCCCTCAGGTCAACAGCTCACAGGTAATAGGATCCTACCAACAACCACATGATGAACTTGGGAAGGAATTTTTCCCCTGTTGAGTACTGACATGACTGAAGCCTTGGCTGAAACGGAGGACACAACTAAGATGTATCTGGATTCCTGACCCACAGAAACTGTGAGATAATGATAAATACCATCGGTTTAGTCTACTATGTTTTGGGGCAACTTATTATGCAGCAAATGGATAATGAATATGATATACCTTTCCCTTAAATTCTGTGGAATATCAGGTTCTATTGGGAGATGCCAGCTTAGTCATTTAAAGCTTTCAAGCTCTGTCTCCTCTACTACACAAAAGTTTATCTTTAACTTCAGAAGCTTATCCATCAAGCAGCTAGCATCCAACAGAAAGGCATTCCATCCCTGGTCAAAGCTGAAATCCTGAAAATTTAGAGTTTTATTTCCTGTTCCTATATTTACCCAGCTGCTTAACCTAATGTTGCCTTCTGTTTTTGGCCTGGCAAATGCCTCTTGGATCTGATTTCACATGATGGCTTTTTTTTTAGCTTTGACCTTACTTTTCCAACAAGGATTTTTGAACCTTCCCCCAAATAAATATACTTCCAGCAATTTCAAAAAAGCTATCCAGCTCCAAGAACTGTCTGTGGTCCTCAAGCCTCCTGATCCTACTGGACCAAGCTAGCAGACATAAAAGGCACAAATGAAAATGCCTGAATATAATGTTCCTCAATATTTTCCTCTCTCTGTCCCATTTACCTGAACAACTCTTTACCCTCAGGAATATCTCCCACCCACAACTCTTATGATAATTAGTAATGTTCAACTAGGGCAAGTTTACAATCCTGGACATGAATATGTCACATTCTAAGAAGAATCCATATAGTTTTTTAGAGCCTCTTATGAGGCTATAAATACATCCAATACACACATGAGGCTTACCAGACCATATAACCTTAAATTTTTCTACTGTAAGTTTAGAAAGTTATAACAGAAATATTCAGAAAAAGGAGACATTTGGATGACTTCATGAAGCAGAGTTACTCTCATACATTCCAGAGATCCTATTATATTTGATTTTAGGAGCTTTGTGCTAATTATCACAAAACAGCAACTTAAGAGTGGTTTAGAAATGAAGAAAAAATTATATAAGTTAACGTCTACACCACTGAAAGATACTTTTCTGTACAACTGAAATATTTCTTTCAAAATACTATGAATATAATCATTAGAAACAGAATATGCCAGAAATCACAATTTGCCTAACAGCACACTTTGGCCAAGACGGTAGTATGACAATACTGTATGTAGACACATTCTGACACCTGGTGGTGACTTGGGACTCTACACCGTGGGTTAAAACGACATAACCCAGAATATCTACATGCTAAAGTAAGAGAAGGAAGTCATTAACACTGCCAGCGAGATTAGTTATTTTAAGAGTTTAAAGACTATATGCTTTACAAGTTATAACGTATACATTTTTTAATGGAAATATCCATAATCTGTTTAAAGGGCTTGATATAGGTCTTTCCGTCTTAAAGTTCCTTTACAATAATAATTTACCCTTATGCCAAATTGTTAAATTGTCAGCATTTACGAGAAACAATAATAAAGCATAAACAAAGTATCAACCTATGATTGTGCTGTGGTGGGGTTCAGGCGCACAGGGGAGCCCTCAGTTCCCCTGAGAGGACGTTTCTTCAGGTTCTTGGTCTATCACTTCCCAAGAATAGGAGAGGAGACCACAGCACAGTGCGCTCATAAAAGTAAATGCCGGACTCAAAAGTGTTTGTAGAAAGTGGTTTATTTAGGCAGAGAGAAAAAGGAGGAGAGAGAAAGAAATAGCTAGCTCTCACACTGAGAGAAGGAAAAGCCGCTCTAACACAGAGATGGGTTCCCAGAGAGGGCAAATCAGAGAAGGAAAACTCCTTTCACATTGAGTGAGAGAATCCAGAAAGATGGAATCCAGGAGAGGAAAGTAGCTCCCATAGTGAGTGGTAGGGAATTGAGAGAGAGAGAGAGAGAGAGAGATGGAGTTAAGGAGAGGAAAAGCAGCTTCCACACTGGGAGGAAGGGGACCCCAGAGGGGAAATCCAGGAGGGGAAAGAGATCTCCCACCATGTGGGAGAGGATTCCAGAGAGGTGGAAATCCAGTGTGGGTGAAGGAGAGGGGCATTTATCCTGGGAGAAATTCCCACCTCCCGAAGTTCCTTTGGCCAATGAAAGGGGTTCCTTTAAACTTCCACTGGGGTGACTGACTCTTAGTTTCTTCCCGTGCCTGCAAAATTTAAACATAAACCATTAAATCTCCCGAATGGGGAGAGATGGGAGCGGGGCATGGCACTGGGAAGCTCTTGCTCTTAAAACTACGCCCCCTTGTGGACCTGGAAAGAGAACACATTCCCTCAATTGCATTATATGAGCGTTCACCCCTATAGTCCCATTCCCATGCCTGACACAGTGCTTACTGTGTATCACAGGTGTTCAGTAAATATTTGTTGACCCCCAAAAAAACCTGCAATGTAATTAAATAAAACAAATTGAAACATTATGTCCTTAGACTTTATACTACCCTTCAAACTTACACAGGTTCTTTGGTTTATTAACATGATAGTTTCAAATACAAGAAGGGGCTTGTGTTTGTCTACATAGTAATTAACTACATAGCCTTTCAAAATACAGGTGCCAGGCCTACCCCAGCTTGCCCAGTCAATATTCTGATTCAGTAGATATGAGGTGGGCAATGCATGTGCATTTTGAAAAGATTCCACCAGTGATTCTATTTCATATCCCTCATCAGGAATGATCGATTTAACTTAATAAAATGTTTAGTTTGCATTACCCAAATACACCCTGTTAAAGTATAACTAACAGTATACTAAGGAGGGGTAGAAGAAAATCCCTAAATCAAATTTTACCAAAATTTTCCTACGTTGATGGTGTGAGTTTAAATTGTTTCAACTCTGATAGAGTTCATCACAAATGCACATATCCTCTGACCACCCAGTCATGGAATCACTGTTTGTAAAAAAAAAAAAAAAAACAGAAGACTGGAAACAATTCATTTGCGCATCAGTATGGGACTGCTTAAAGACATGATATATACCTATGGTAGAATAGCGTGCAGAGAAAATAAAATAATTAAAAATTAGTAAAACTATTTATGCAACTGTTTTCTAAGCATCTGGCCTTTTTGCAATTTATCTTCCTTCAATAAGGAGATAAATTCTACAGAGTAAGAACAGAAGTCTGGCTCTTTCCAGAGCAAAATATCATTTTGTCACAAAGAACTGCCCGAGAGTGGGTAATTTATAAAGGAAAGAGGTTTAACTGACTCACAGTTCAGCATGGCTGGGGAGGGCTCAGGAAATTTACAATTAAGGCAGAAGGAAAGGAAACCAAGGCACCTTCTTCACAATGTGGCAGAAAGAAGAAGTACTGAATGAAGGGGGAAGAGCCCCTTATGAAACCATCAGGTCTTGTGAGAACTCACTATCATGAGAACAGCATGGGGAAAACTGCCACCATGATTCAATTACCTCCACCTGATTTCTCCCTTGACACATGGGGATTAGGGGAATTTTAATTCAAGATGAGATTTGGGTGGGGACACAAAGCTGAACCATATCAGTCATCTACATGCCTAGTAAACAGAGCAGACAGATGTTTTTTCAATTAACATCTGACCATCAGCAGAATGAATAGTTTGTCATAGAGTCCCTGTCAAAAGTTGACACATGTTCCTATAGAGGAACATGTGATGAGCACTTCTCACTCATTTTCAATGAAGGATTCTTATCAGAAGGGGAGAAAGGATTTGTAATCTTGGAAAGAAATGGCCTGAAACCAATTGCTCAAAATACAGTAGACCCACCTTACACACGGGGACATGTTCCAAGATGGCCAGTGGATGCCTGAAACCTTGGATAGTACCAAACCCTATATATACTGGTTTTTTTCCTATACATACATACCTATGATAAAGTTTAATTTATAAAGTAGGCATAGTAGGAGATTAACAACAATAACTAAGAATAAAACAGAATAGAGCCAGGTGCAATGGCTCATGTCCATAATCCAAGCTACTTGAGAGGGTGAGGTGGGAGGATTGTTTGAGGCCAGGAGTTTAAACCAGCCTAGGCAACATGGCGAGACCTGCCTCTAATTTTTTTTTTTTTCATTAGCAGGTTACAAAGGCACATGCCTGTATAGTGCTAGCTACTCAGGAGGCTGTGGTGGTAAGATTATATGAACTGTGGAATACAAGGCTGCAGTGAGTTATGATCACACCACTGCATTCCAGCCTGGGCAACAGAGCAAGACCCAAATAAGCAAGCAATAAAATAGAGTAATTGGGAGAGATTAGTTCTTACCATAGATCTTAACAACCTCAACATACAATTTTTTTCCTTACTTAGTCAAGAACTCAACTTTTCAATTAAAAGACGCAATTCCTGGCATCTCCTTGGCATATGTGAATTGCCAGCATCATTACTCTTGCACTTTGGGGCCATTATTAAGTAAAATGAGTCACCTGAACACAAGCACTGTGATACCACAACGATTGATCTGAAAATCGGGCCACTACAAGTGACTAATAGGCGGTAGCATATATATGTGGATACACTTGACAAAGCGAGGATTCAGGTCCCAAGTGGCAGGATGGCTGGAGATATCATCATGCTCACTTAGAAGGCTGCACCATTTAAAACTGATAAATTATTGGCTGGGTGCAGTAATCCCAGCACTTTGGGAGGCCAAGGTGGGCAGATCACCTGAGGTAAGGAGGTCAAGACCAGCCTGGCCAACATGGTGAAACCCATCTCTACTAATAATACAAAAAAAAAAATTAGTTAGGCATGCACCTGTAATCCCAGCTACTCAGGAGGCTGAGGCAAGAGAATTGCTTGATACCAGGAGGCAGAGGTTGCAGTGTGCCGAGATCAAGCCATGGGCTCCAGCCTGGGCTACAACAGCGAACCTCCATCTCAAAAAGATTGAATGGTTTATTTCTGGAATTTTCCAGTTAGCATATTTGGACCATGATAGGTCACAGGTAAGAGTGAAACCTTAAAAAACCAAACCATCCATAAAGGGGGACTACTGTACAGAATATTTTTGAAGCCTCAAGTTTTACATTTAAAAATCCCTACATGGCTGGGCGTGGTGGCTTGTGCCTATAATCCCAATGCTTTGGGAGGTTGAGGTAGGAGAACTGCCTGAGCCCAGGAGTTCAAAACCAGCTGGGGCAACACTAGGAGAACCTGTCTCTTAAAAACAAACAAACAAACAAAAAACAGCCAGGTGTGGTGGAACCCATCTGCAGTCCCAGTTACTCAAGAGGCTAAGAAAGGAAGATCACTTGAGCCCCAAGGCACGAGATTACAGTAAGCTATGATCATGATCAGATCGCTATACTCTGGCCTGAGTAACAGAGCAAGACCCTATCTCTAAAAAATAAAAATAAATTAAAAAAAAAAGATGTAGGGAATATGGAAGCATTCTCTCAAATTATCTGGGCTTATGATTTATTTTAAACAAAATAATCAAAAAGCTGTGGGCTACACAGCTCTCAATAACTGAGATATAATTGATCTTTTTACTGTATAATGATCTACTATATTATTCCCCAAATGTTTTACATGCTTAATTTTATCACTCCAAAAATCAGTGAAACCACATCTCCTCCCCACAGTAAGCTTCATGCCATAATGTTTTGGTATCTCTTCTAAGTGTATGAAGGTAGTCAAAGCACTGAGTAAGTTCATGATTGACCTCAGGTGAAAGAGATACCCAAAAAGTGCTTGATTACACTAAAAATTATTAACTATCAGTTGGAATTTAATTAATCTAGAAAACTCTCTATTAATATTAGAACAGTGTATTTTAGCATTTAAAACTAGGAAACATTCCAAACTAGAAATCTCTATAATTAAACTGATTGCTCTACGGTTAATCAAATTAGTACTGTCAAGATAATGTTAAGCAGTAATGCCCCTTTTTAAATGAAAAGTATATTACACAATAATTTGATATTCTAATGAAGGTGCTTTAGAGGACAGTATAATCATACATTATGAAATAATTCACACAAATAATTTGTTTATCCAAGGACTGTGAAAATGAACAGAATGACTTAACTCACCATGCTGCGTCAAGTATTCCACAATATTCCATACTATTCCTGGAATGCCATTCTCGGTGAGCCCCTGCTGTTCAAGTTCTTGGAGACTGACTCCAAATAATTTCTGATAGGTGAAATCCTTCTGTTCATTTAATGGCACTGCCACTATCTTTTTCATGTCTTCTTTCAGCCGAACCGCTGCTTTACTTTGCTTAAAAGAGCGTAAGAAAAAAGAGCAGTCAGTCATATTTACCACAGGAGGTTGCATGGTTACAACAGAAACACCTGAATTAAAATGTGTTTGAAGATGAATAGTTGTGGTCTTCACTTATTTTTACTTCAACTCAAATCAAAATCTCCAACATCTCTCACATGTTGCTCAGATATAATGGTTAAAAAGAGTGAAAAGCAATGAGAAGCCTGAAGCCACAACTGAAGTATGTAGCTAAGGGAGGGAGCAATACACTGCAGTATCTAAGATATATTACTACAGTAACCAAGGGGTGTGACTCAGCAGCACCTGGTTAACAGGACAATAAAACGTTTATAAGAACAGTGAAACGCCACGCAGATCCTGAAATAATGAGATGTTTCCAAAGATAATAATTTGTTCTGGTGTCATTTTAAGGTAGCTTTAAGTTAAAGTGTCAGAAGAAAACATTACAATGATCATTCTCCATGCACAATGACCATTATGGTTCCCTGATTTCATTACATATATAAATATCTCGATAGTCTTTTGGAACTTAATATAAACTCAGTTCTTACTGAGGTTCAAAATGCCCTCGAATCTTTGAAACAACTACATTTAGGGAGTCATAATTTTAAAATTTTCAACGAGATTGTATTATATATATTATAAATAAAAATGAAACTTAGATTCAATTACATCGAGTTACTAACACAATGAAAAATTCATAAAAGTTTGTTTCTTCCTTGTAATAAAAATCTACATCCAAACAAAGAAAAATATTTTAAAGCATGTGTCTGATTAACCGATATTCTAAAAATCAGGATAAAAAAAACCTGAAAAAGCAAAAAAAAAAACTCCAGAAAAAAAAAAAAAAAAAAAAAAAAAAAAAAGAACCCTGA